ATACATCATTTGGTGTGAGCCAGTAATTACTGCAGGAGCTGGCATGTGACCAAGTTCTGACCAATAGGAAGTTGAATTGGAGGCTTATAGAAAATATTACTGTAACATCCCCCCTCACCTCGTTTCTTTCCTACCTTGAATTCATTTGTGCAGAAATGTGATTTGTAGCCGAAGCAATTGTTTTATACCCATAAGGCAATTAACCTATTAATAAAAGTCTATGCACTGGGGATGGCACAGGAGAGGGAAAGAAAAATCTCTGAGGATGATGCTAAGTTGTTGCACCAAACTTGGGACTCAGTGTTATAGGAGGTAATTAAGTCTTTGTTAGTCTCTGCTATCCTCTGGGTGCTTTGTTACTCGAAGCATCCCTAATTGACACCAGGGATAATGACAGCTACTTTCTAGAGCTCCTGGGAGAACTAAACAACATAATGTGTATCCAGTGCTAGGTATACTGCTATTACTTTCATCCAGGATCTTCATTTATATAGTGTGAACCCTTCCTCAAGGCTGGAGACAGTCACATTGGAAGAGAGTGACATGTTGGTAGTGGCATTTGAAGGACAACTGATGGATTCTAGATATACTCACCTGGGCATAATATAGTAAATCAAGTTTCAGAATAATTGTCAGTACTTACAACTATCAGATTGTCAGAACTTACCTCTTTAACTGAACAGTTACCAAATAAATGTGAAGGACAGAGGAATTCTTTTGTTTGTTTATTGGATTTAAAAAACAACAACAACAAAGTTATAGTTTTATTGGTATTCTTAAATCAAATGGCCTATTATACTGTCTATATTGATATCTCCCCTTGGCTTCTCTGTAACCATCAAAGTCTGCTTCTTTTGGTGTGAAAGATGTTTTTCTTTTCTAATAGTGGTCTCATACAGTATTTGCCTTTATGGTATTGACTAACTTTGCTTAGCATAATATCATCTTGTCAGTGTCATGAGGTGTTTGATAGTTTCATAATTATTCTTTAGGGATGCATAGTATGCCATCGTAGGTATGTATTAGAGTTTATCTATCCATTCCTCCACTGACGGGCATTTAGCTTCTTTCTGGTGCTACAGTGAACACGAGTGTACATTATCTGCTTATGTTTTGCTGCTTGTTTCTTTAGGGTGTATACTGAGTAGAGAGCTTGCTAGGTCATATGGCATTTCTACTCCCACTTGTTTGAGGAAATGCCACTTTTCACAGCTATTATCTAGTTTTGCTGTCCCACCAGCATGCTTCACGTCCAAGAATTGGAAGGTTCCAATCTCGTCACATATTCTCCAGAATTTGTTCTTTTCTTTTCTTTTTTTTAATTAGACTTTTGCTATCAGTGCTGGTGCGAGGTGGTATCTCATCATTCTAGTTTTGTATTTCTCAAATGGTTAGTGATCGCAAACCTTTCTTCATGTTTGTTGACCCCCTAGAACGTCATCTTTGGCGAATTGTCTATTTAGGCCTCTCATTTTCAATGGTATTTTTAGTCTTTTTTCTTTTTCAGACATTGCATAGATTTTTGTTTTGTATATTTTTGAGACTAACCATTTATCAGATACATGATTGCCAACACATTTTTCCTTTTTCGATTCAGCCTTTGATGCACACAGACGTATTTTAAGGAGCTCTCAGTCCTCTATTGTGTGGACGTTTTTCATATGTGTAATAATGTGTTTATGTCTTGTATTAAAGCCCTTAATTTTCCTTATGTTTTAATTGCTATCTTTATCGTTAAGTTTGTCCCTATTTTCTAATTGATTATCTGCTTCTAAGGTTTCCATTTAAGTCTTAAATTTGTTTCATATATGATGTGCAGTATGAGTTCTGCTTCATTCTTCTGCAAATGCAGCCTAATCCTGACTCTTGAGATGTGAAGAAAATCTGATGTTGAAAAGCGTTTTCATATTGAAAATGCCACAGGCTCTCAGAAGAATAAACAAGTGAGTCTTGGAAGTGAGGTGAGCAAGACATCAGCCTGATTTCTTTGGACATATCATCAGGAAAGACCAATTATTAGAAAAGGACATGATGGTTAATAAAGTAGAGGGTCAGCCGAAAGGAAGGAGACTCTTAATGAGATGGATTGCTACAATAGTCTCAATAAAGGGCTCAAGCATACCGAGAATCATGCAGGTGATGTAAGACTGGGCAATGCTTGGTCACTATGACTTTGAACCAATTTTATAGTAACTATCATCAACAAGAGAGAACCACAGGAAGTGAAGGTCTCTTCCTTCCCCCTGGATGCTGTGGTTTCTGGTTGTGGCATCTGAAACCACTGTGGTCATGCTCCGGCCATCCTGAGGATAAAACCAACACTGACAGACGAAGGATTGCTGGAAGGAGCCCACTCTTGCCTGGCAATGCTGAGCTGCTAAATTAGTCAGTTGTGGAGCCCGTTCTGCCCTCGGACTTTCTAACACACAAGCTAAATATTTACTTAGGGTCAATGAGCTGGGGTTTGTGGTATTTGTTGCTGAAAGTATCCTGCCTGATATTCAGAGTTTACTTAAGAGATTTTAGTTCATGCAAAGAAAATGTAGATGTACACCCAGTTTTAAGAACCAAACAATTGCAGGAAGTTGAGTTAGGAATGTGGTGGGGAAGGCAGCACCATGTTCATTGTTAAGGATTGGCCAAGAGGCACTCCCATGCCCATGCGGGTCAAGAGAGCTCAGCTCTGTGAAAGCAATGCATTGGTACAAGAGTTGAAGTCAGTCTTCCATAATGATGACAATGAATCGAAGAGGATTAGGCAGAGGGCTAATCAAAGATTTTCTTGATAGTGACCATCATTTATGACCACTACACTAATCCTATGCAGGTTCAGAAACCCATCATTTGGCTGGCCTGCCTCCCCTGCCCCTCTTAAACTCCAGTTCAAGGATGTATTCCTGTCCCTGTCAACAGTCTATAACAGGTACCCTGCCTTATGTCTCTTGGTCTCCAGTATCCTCCAGTCTGATTGTGCCACTATAATGGAAAGAAGGAACCGATTACAAGGATCCATATGTGACCTCCTTCTTGGGGGATGGACAACAGAAAAGTGGGTGAAGGGAGACGTCGAACAGGGCAGGATATAACAAAATAAACAATTTATAAATTATCAAGGGCTCATGAGGGAGGTGGGAGCGGGGAGGTAGGGGAAGAATGAGGACCTGATGCCAGGGGCTTAAGTGGAGAGCAAATGTTTTGAGAATGACTAGGGCAATGAATGTACAAATGCGCTTTACACAATTGATGTATATATGGATTGTGATAAGAGTCATATGAAACCTAATAAAATGATTGAAAAAAAAAAAAGGGAATGGCTTCCACTTTGAAATAGAGCGGTGAGCTGGGCCTCTCAGCTTGGCCCTTGGGGCCCTTCCAGCCCAAAAGTCAGAGTATTCTCCAGTTTTTATCCCCATCTGCAGATCCCATTGCCGTACCCCACAAACACCTCCTCCATGCTCTGTCTCATTCTGTTTCTTTTGCTCCTGCTGTCCCCTTCCACTCAACCCTGACTGCACATCAGGATCACCCAGGAAGTGAAAAAATGCAGGCGCCTGGGTGCCAGCTCTGACCAACTGAATCAAGATCTCTGAGAGGTGGGGCCTGGGATCTGCATTTTTAAAAAGTGCTTCAGGTGATCTGGGTTTACACTACCCTATCTTATGTCCTGTCTTCTCTGGCCCCGACCCTTTCCCCACATTCACTTGTCGAAGTGCTATCATCAATTAAGAAGCACGTGTGAGCCCCTCCTCCTGGATGTCTTCACTGACCACCCGGAACCAATTAAACCATGTGTGTTTATTGCCACTTCTGAGTCCCCACCACACTTGTTCACGTAGCCCTCAGTTCACTGCATTCTGTCCTGGGTCCTTTTTTTTTTTTATCCCTAGAGCCATGCGCCCTTGGAGGCAATGTCCACCTGTTTCCTTTGTGCCATGTCATGGGAGCCACATGTCTGGGCTAGCTCTGTGGATGCCTCTGTGCATGCCTCCTTAGCTTTCAAAGCCATCCGCAGACCTCATCTCTCTGAGGAACCCTTTCCTGACACTACATGTGCTGTCCTGTTCCTGCCTCTGGTGTCCTCTTCTGCTGCTGAGCCCCAGGGCCTCCCTTCTGCACAGTCTGGGTCTACCTGATATAGCCCTTGGACTTGTAGGTGCTCTGTCAGTGCTGGGCAAATGGATTTGCCTTGACAGCAAGAATCCACCATGGCCATGGCCACCTACCTAGCCATCTCTGAAACTTTTTTTTTTTCATTTTAAAAATGCTCTTTACTCTTGGGTTAGCATTTAGAATACACAATTCTTACTTGAGGATGACAATTAAAGATTACTCTAACATGACAGCAGCAAAAATATGCCTCTGCAATCACAAAAGGGCTAACGAGGAACCCATAGTTAGGTTATTCTCATGCGGACAAGAATGACTCTAAAATAAGTTATCTGAGCAGCTGTTATTGACTTTTCAGGTTTAATTTGAACACACACGTTTTCAGCTGGAGGTTAGATTCCACCCATTTTTCGGAAGGAGTTCTTCGAGAGTAGACTTGCCCTAGGAATGGAGGGATCCGACTGGCCCACGAGGCAAGCAGAAAGAAAAGCCAGTCACTCCACTGGTGCCCGCAGCACGCTGCACAGCACCCAAAGGTGGCCTTCCGCAGCAGCTGGACATCCTTCAGCCTGGGCCTGCCTCTGCTTCAGAACTAACTGCATCCCAAGAGTTTAAGAATGTGGACATCTTATCACTATCCAGTGAATTTGGGTGGCCTGCCTCTTTTTGCAGACTGGACTCCCTGGAATGACCTAGTTCATGATCTAGACACTAGTAATTTGGTCACCAGGGAAACCAAGCCTGCAAAAGAGAAAGCCTATCTTCAAAACAGTGAACTCAGGTAAATCATTTATCTTCAACATAAACATAGAACCTCAAAAGGACGTGTCTCCTCCAGTAACACCAAGAAGACGGAGCCCACATCTCTTCTTCTACTGCTTAGGTTTGGCCCACTATTCCCGAAACATGGAATAGACCATCCCAACAGTCATGGCTCCTACAACAAAGCCTCGTGCTGCCACACGCATGTGGACCAGGTGGACCGACATCTTGGTGTCTCCCCGGCTCTTCAGTTTGTACAAGCCGAACGCCACGACTGCCGCACAGCCCGCGATTCTGATGGGGACTCTTGAGCTTTTCTGATGAGTTTGGATCCCTGCTTCATCATACGAAGAAAGAGAAATACCTGTGTTGGATGACATAGCTGTTGGTGAGAACCTTTCTGAGATTGAAGAGTTTTCCACAAGGCACAGGACCGCGTTCAACTCCCACCGGCTCCTCTCTCTGAAACCTTTGAAGCAGCTTGTTGAGTTGAACTTGGATGAAAGAAACATGGAAGGACCAAAGGAAGGGCGGAGGGGAGAGGCAGGGTGAAGGCGGCGAAGAGGAGAGAAGACAGCGGGCGGAGAAGGGACACAGGGAAGAGGATAGAAGGAATGAGAATGACAGGAGGGGAAGAAGGAGGGAGACAGGATGGGCAAAGAAACCATCTCTAGTGGAGCCTCTGGTTGCTTGGGGGAGGGTCATCGTGGGAAGAGGGCTGAGGGAGGCAGACATACTTTGTGAGCAGCCCTGTGCACATGAGAGTGTCCCTTTGTCACCAAGGACTTGACCCACATCCCTGAAAGAAAATCAACAGCCAAAGACAAAATCATCCTCTAGGGAAGCTTCGTTTTCCCTCCCAGGAACCTTGCTGGGAAGGTTTCTAGAGAGGGGAACATGATTCCCAAATGGCTGAGTCATTTGACATAGGACAAGCAAATGGTTCCTGGCTCTCGAGAGCGGGGGTGAGGGCAGCACGCAGGTTGTCTCAGCACACAGCCCACATTGGGGCCCTGTCTTCTCCTGGGATGACAGTTGTCACCCCTGAGATGGCTGTCATGGTCTGCTGGGGCTGTAGGTCTGAGGGCTTCGCGGGCCTTTGCTCCAAAGCCCCGGGGCAAGCTACAGATGACCTGCATCCTCCGCGCAGCCAGGGCCTCGCCCGAAACTGGGAACCGAGCTGCGTTTCTGTCCCGCTTGGCTGCCGCGGTTCCGCCTTCACCCTCAAGTCTGGCCAGGCTCCGGTTGGACCTGGCACGCAGCTAGGAAGAGAGCTCGAGAGCATCCTGGGAAACGCATCCATCACCGGTGCAGCCACGGCCTCCCCAGAGACACAGCTGCGAGGGCCACTATGAAAAGTTGGGACCCGTTTCCTAGACAGGAAGCAGGATTTGCTGAGGACAAGTGACCCCTGGCAGAATGACACAGGGCTAAAATGGGAGCCCCGATGGTCACTTCCTACCGGTACTGGTTGCCAGGAAATTGATTGCAACCCCAGCTGTGCCAGAGTAGAACTGTACCGACGCACTTTTTTCAAATGGATTAATTTTTCAGACCCAGATAACCAGGCCTTTTCCCCGACGCACCTCTGGGTAGACTTGAACCTCCAACCTCTTGGTTGACAGCCAAGTCGATTAGCTGTTTGCGCCACGCAGGGACACTGCAGTTTGCTAAATGCTGTCCCTTCCCCTCCCTGCCACAGGTCAGTATCCATGGTGCTGGCAGTCCACACGTTTGCTCCTGGGTGACATTTGCCACATCATTTTGAAAAAAAGAAAGAGAGAGAAAAAGGAACGTAGATCTTTGCGACCAGAGAGCATCTCTGTCTGTCAGACTTGGATGCAACAAGAGAGAGAAGAAGTCTTTCACTCAGAGGTTGGCAAGCAATGCTGAGCACAGCTCTGTGCTGGGTGGGGGGTGGGGGAGGTGGGGCAGGTGACAGCAGGTAACCCATGGGCCTTGCCTTCATGGAGCCTATAGATGAGTCACAGTCTGGCCCTCATCAAGCCCACACTTGCCTCTGACAGCAGGGCTCTGGGGCTAGAGGCTCCCACCTGGCTCAACTAACGTCTTGGGCACTTGGTCCAGGGTGATGCTGCCCTGGACAGGGCAGGGCTGCTGGAAGAGGAAGAAAGGAGTGTTTACCAGGGGAACACACGCAGCGACAGGGTGACCAGGGGCTTTCATAGAAGAAGGGGGATGAAAAGAGAAGGGATATATATTTAGAAATATAGAGTCTGACCAATTTAGTGGAGAGAAGAAAGGGGAAGAAAAAAAAAAAGCCCGAGTCCCCGAGGTAACCTGTTTGCAGGAGCTGCCTAATTTAGCAGAAAATCACACACGCGGGTCTGGCACCGGCGGGTGGAAGGTATTTCCTCCGCAGGCTGGGTCAAGTTTCACTCATAGGTACTATCTAAAATTAGACCCTCTGCTTTCATTCTGGGCCAAATTCCCTGCCTAGCGTAATATTTGAGAGAAACAGGCACGCCATTAAACCCGAGTCCTCGTCCCAGCGGCCCTTGGCCTGGGAAGGGCTGGGCCCTGTCCCCGGCTGGCGGCCGCTGCGGCTCATAAACCCAGGTCTAAATTCAAAGCATCCGCTCTGACTGCTGACCTCTGGCTCCCGGCAGGGCTTGTAGCCACGGCCGCCTCCAGCTCACACCCAGGCCTGGCCAGGTCAATGGGAGGGAACCATTTCAGGACGGTGACCTTTTGTATTGGGGTGTGGGGGTGGGCGACAGCAAAAGAAGGTGGGGCTGGGAAGGGGCTCTTGACACGGCTGGGTCCATGATGGCTGGGCCTCTTGTTGGGGCATATCTATTCTTTTCTGCACTCAGGAGCCTGTTAACAGCCTGCCTGTTGTTATTATTATAATTATTATTCTCTGAATTAATATAACATCGAGGCAAGACTCAGAGAGGCAGAGGAATCGGCACCAAGTTTGGTCAGATTCCTTTATTGAATAAATCTTGTAGCAGCCTTGCAGCAGGAAGGAGGGCACGGCAGGAGTCCCAGACTCCAAGAGGCTGTGCTGGAGTCCTGGCCGGAGTGTGGCTGGAACCCAGGACTTACGTGCTTTCTTTCTTTCATTAGCTTCTACTTGTTTCTCAGCAGTAGCTTCTGTCACGGCCTGCGGGCCATCCTGTTCCTCAGTCCACATTACGGAATGCGACTTGTTTCATATGATTGCAGTTCCAGTTATCCGTGATCCGTGCAGAGACAACTCTTTCTTGGTTCCGATTCCAAAGTCCCTGGGCAGATCTCTGATTGGCTTAGCTTGCATCATGTGCTGGCTTCTGCACCAATCAGCAGTGGCCAGGTGTGGATCCATGTACGAGCAGGGGGAATTCTGCTGTAAGCGTTTGACCCCTGTCAGTTTACAATTGCACTTGCCAGATCATGGAGTCTTACTTTTGACTTAAAGAACGCACCGGCTCTAGAAGATACTTTCTGCCCTCTTCAATTTTTTTTTCTCTTAGGTGGAGGAGAAGAATAAACTAATGCAATTAAAAAGGAGGTTAGCTCCCTTTTGATCCATTTTAAAGTTGTTTCACCTTTTAATATTTTCTGCTTTCTTTTTGATTGAGGTTTTTCTATGTTTTGTCTAGTCATTGTTTGCTTCCTACATGTGTCTTGTATGAGTTTCTGTGTATGAAAGCCAGGACAGGAACATCTATAGAGACAGTAACTGGGTGGGTCATTGCCTAGGGCCTGGTAGGGGCGGATGGGGGAATTGGGGAGCTAACAACAACGAGTATGAGAAGAGAATGGTCTGAAATGGATTGTGGCGATGACTGCACAAATCTTTATATGTTTGAAGGATTAAATTGTATGACATGTGACATGTATGCCAATAAACAAACAAACAAATAAAGCATATGCAGGCAAAAACGAAACCAAAGAGTAAAATAAAATAAAAAGGAGGCTTGGGGTAGGAAGGGCAAGGTGGGAGAATGGTTGCCAAGATGAGCGTATATATCTACCTCTGGTGTTTTTGCTTCTTCGGGACAAATAGAGCTGAGAATATCTGTGTTTATCAGCCCTGGTTTCCACTGGTTTCACGTGGGAAAATAAGAATGAAAAGTACTGGTAGCCTGGTCCAATAACTGAAGATACTGCTTTAATTGGTTGACCATTGGGGTTTTTTACATGTTTTAGAGGTTTCTAATGGCAGATTAAGTTGAGAATCATTGGCTTGGGATAAGAGTAATTGTGATCACTTCTTCCCCACCCCACTTTCCTGGATTTTTTATGTTAGAGAATTCTGTGAGAAAAAGAGTTGCTATGTTCTCCAATTTCATTGGCTAGTAGATTGATTGGTGACCATTGTCTTCATAGTTGCTTACTTGTGTTTCATTGACTCTGCAAAGGCATTTGACTACATGGATCATAACAAACTACGGAGGACCTTGAAAAGAATGGGAATTCCAGACACTTCTGGGCTCATTCCGACCTTGTACATAGCTCAAGAGGCAGTTGCGCAAGCAGAACAAGGGAATCCTGCGTGATTTAAAACCAGGCACGTTTCAGAGTTGTGTCCTCTCACCCTATCTATTCATTCTATGTGTGGAGCAGATATTACGAGAACCCGGACTATATAAAGAAGAAAGTAGCATCAGGATAGGAGGAAGGATTATTAACGAGCCGAGATATGCAGATGATGTAATCTTGCTAAAGTGAAGAGGATTTGAAGCACTTGCTGATGCACGATGTGGGTCAAGGACGGCAGCCTTGAGTATGGATTACAACTTAAGATAAATAAAGCAAAAATCCACACAACTAGATGAACAGGTAACATTATCATAAGTGGAGAAAAGGTTGAAGTTGTCAAGGATTTCATCTTGCTTGGCTTTACAATCGATGCCCATGGAAGAAACAGTCAAGTGATCTCCGGAGGCATTGCATTGGGTAAATCTCGTGCAGCAGCACGAGACCGCTTTCAAATGTTGGAAAGCAAGGTGTTATTTTGAGGACTAAAGTGTACCTGACCCAAGTCATAGTATTTTCAATAGCTTCATAGGCATGTTAAACTTAGACATTGACTAGGGAAGACTGAAGAATCATTTCATTTGAATTATGGTGCTGGTGAAGAATATTGGAAGTACCAGAGACTGCCAAAAGAACAAACAAATCTGTCTTGGAAGAATTAAGGCCAGATGCTTCTTTGAGGCAAGGATGGCAAGACTTGGTCTCACGTACTTTGACATGTTGTCAGGGGAGACCAGTCCTTGGAGAAGGACATCATGCTTAGTAAAGTAGAGGAGCATGTGGGGGAAACCAGTCCCTCACAACTAATCATGTGTTCGGTAAACACACCTGTATGGTTAAAATATATAAATATTATAATAAAGTCATAGAGAAATAGGACAGATGGGAGAGA